ATCCCTCTAGGGATTCAGTAGACACCCCCCCCGCCAACATATAAATAGTTGTATCACTTTTTTTACTTTCTTGAATGTAGGTGCGCCCATCTGAATTATAAATTCCTTGAAAGCAAGTGTTTGTGATTTTTGTTGCACAGCCTGCAATGTATAGGACACATTGATGCATGTGTTGGCTGAATTCTCATGGTCTTTAGTTTCTGTTTTAAATATTCTTCTTGCATCTTTTGCAAATTCTAAATTTTCTCTTATTGGCCTCTTTTGAGGTCATCATTACCTGCTTCTAGAACATCTTCCCACTCGGAATTTTACTTACTTACTTTTTTTTGCTTTAATTTGAGCTTCTGTTGTTTCACAGTAAAGCTAAGTTCTACTCTCAGCTTTTAAAAACCTTTTTTTCCCTCCAACTTTTAAAAAATATTATTTTTATTTCATGTGTGTAAGTGTTATGCCTGCATGTAAGTAAGTGCATCCGTGTCATGCAACGCCCGCGGAGGACAGAAGAGGCTGTCAGATCCCCTGGAACTGGAGTTACTAGACAGTTGTGAAAAACATTACCGTTGAAATCTACCTGATGACTATATATATCCATGCTCAGGTGCCAAGGATCTCAGAAAGTAACTGATTATGACTAGTAATAATCAGATATATAGAGATTAGAGACGCATTGTGCAAACATCTAAGTGTTAGTTGCATTAAAAATGAGTTTTTCTGCATGAAAAAGTATATTTTTAAATGAAATGGAGGTCTTTTTTAAAGGTTAAAAACCTCATTCAATTTTATGCCTTATAGAGCTTATACAGAGAACAATATTGTATAACTGATTAATTCAAACATTTGGTTTTTGCCCAATGTTTATAGCCAATTTTGGAGGAGATGCATCTTTGCTCTGGAAATTGTTATTGAATACGTCAACGCTGTTGTAATGAAATGCTTCTTCTAATTATATAGTTATTAAATAAATAATGAAAAAAACAAAGGAAAAAAGGAATGAAGGAAGGAAGGAAAAGAATAAAAGGCAATAGAAAGACATTTCAGAGGCAGAGTACATGCAAGGTTCTAGGTTCAATCACTAGTGTCAAAAGAAAATGAAATCCAGCTATATAAGTGTGCACACTTCATCAGGAAAAAAAATATCTTTAAAAGCTCCTCTTCACCCAAAGAAGATGTGACTCATTTATCCTGAAGTGCTGGTTGTAGACAGGGTTATTCTATACTCACTTCAGTACCCTGAGGATGTCCTCTGTAGACCACAGGTCTTAACATAGAGTGATACCTTTTCTAGGTGTCTGGCCCTTTATGAAGCTCCAGGTGAACAGTCACATAGTAAGAGCTCTTCACTCTCAAGACTTAGGAGGTCAGTTACATCTACAGAGTTCTGAGGTGCATACAATTCTATATTTCTGAACCCTCTATAATTGACTTTATCAATTAAAATATGGCCAGCAGTTCAGGGGCTCTGTGTTCCCTTGGCTTTCTGCACGGCAGCAAGAATTCTCTAGATCTTCAAAGTCAAATGCCTCCAGCAAAACATCTCAATTTTTATATCGGTGAGTTTTGCATAAAAATAGAAATTGGCATCTCTCCAGAAGTCCCACAATCTGACAGTGCCCTCCCCCCGTTTCCATGCAGCAGCTCAGGCTGGCAGTGTCTCGAGTAGTCACACACACTCCATCACATTCATCCCTACCTCCCCAAGACACTTCCCTGTCACTAGTCTTTTGCCAGTGGTCTTGAATTACTGTCTTTCTTTCAGCAGATAATCTATTAGGCATAAAAATGGGAACTCAAAATTTAGGTTAATTTAGCTTGATATTTCAGAAAGAACTGAGCGTGCACCTCTTGCAGGTGTGTCCGATTCTATACTATGTTTTCTCATTTATATTATCTGTCTGATCCACCTGTGTAGCAAAGTGTACAACACTTGGGAGAGTAATTTATTACTAGTGATAATGAAATACCTATAGAAAAGGGATTTCTGCTTTGTTTTACTGTTCTGAGCTATTATATTGAAACGTAAAACAACCCACCCCAGTGACCCCAGGCTCATCAGCATTATTCACTCTTCGGATTTATGAAGGTAGAAGAGAAGTTGAACATTATTTCCATAGGTTAGAAAATGTGCCCTTATGGAACACTTATACATATGAAAATAAATATATTGTTTGATCATAAAGCAAAAATGATATAATTCAACATATTTCCTTCTTTGTCTTAGCTTCCTGGACCAAGATAAGAAAAAGTCACAAAAACAACTTTGTTATCTTGCTAAAATATATTTCTAAGGGAAGAGTTCCTGAATGTGCTAGTCACTACACACAGGATACTATATTTTCATGGGTTTTCCTAAGAGCCATTATTTGGGAGTATCTTCCTGCAAAAGCCGAACTCTTTTCTAAATCAGAATTTATTTTTAAATTCATTTTCCTGAAGAACCCGTTTACTTAAGAACAGAAAGATAAACGACATTTTGTGTCTAGTTTGATACATTCATGAAGATGCACACTTTCCCACTCCCATCCTCCTTGACTGACTGTATTCTTCAGAGATGACCACATCAGTGTATATTTCCTGTCAAACAGGATCCTTCTATGTGACTGCCATGCCATTCACAGCAGGTGAGATCCATGTTTCTCCCTACATTGAACTGAATCTAGACAGGAATTTGTGACATTTTCTATCAACAAAATGTTGTGGAGGTCATATCAAATGCCTCTTTAAAAATTTTTGAGATGCCAGGCATGGTGGCATACACCTTTAATCCCAGAACTTGGGAGGCAGAAATAGGTGGATCACTGTGAGATCGAGGCCAACCTGGGATGGTCTACATAGTAAGTCCAGGCCAGCTAGGACTAAATAGTGACTCTCTGTCTCAAAAAAAAACAAAAAAAAATTGAGACATGGTCTTGCAATGGAGTCCAGACTGGCTCTGAAACTTGAGATTCTCCTGCCTCAGTCTCCTGAGTGCTGTGATTACAGGTGAGTGTCATCATGCCCAACTTAAATGACTTCTGAATCTAGGTCATTAAAGGTGATGCACTTAAGACTTCCTCCCCCTAGACATGTGTCATGGAACTCTTGAGCCAGTTCCCCTAAAGCTACAATGCTGGAGACCTCACATGTAGAGTCAGTTAGAGATACAGATGTCAACTCCAGCCTCCAGATGCACCAACCTCCCCAGGCCAAGCACTGGAATATAGGAAGACACTGAGATGATGCCAGTTCTGACCACTACCTGTCTACATCTTCAGGTGTGACCCTCACTCCCAGACATGTGCACACAATCTCTTGCTCCTGAACCACAAAAACTATCAAAGGAAATAAATCACTAGTGCTGTTTTAATCCACTGGGCTTTGACTGTGAAGCCATAATTAATAGGAAACATACAATAACCGAAAAAGGTCTTGCTCCACAACTTACCTCATTGATTTCAGTTCCATCTGCACTGGTATATACAATTCTGTAACCACTGATCTTTTTTGATGTTGGGTCCCAGGTTAACCGAGCACTGTTAGAGCCAACATTGGAGATTCTCAGGTTTCTTGGTGGAGTTAAAGGTACTGAGCAGTAAACAGAATAGACCATGATTAAAATATTAAGTAACTAAAATCATTTAAAATAAAAAACACAAGAAACAGCATCTTTGTCTTTCAAATTATTTCTTTTTAAAAAATATTTTATTTTTTATTTTATGTACTGCCTGCATATATGTAAGTGCATCCATGTCATGCAATGCCTGCGGAGGTCAGGAAAGGGCATCGGATCCCCTGGAACTGGATTATGGATGGTTGTCATCTGCCATGTGGCTACTGGGAATCAAACGTGGGTCCTCTGCAAGAGCAGCCAGTGCTCTTAACTGCTGAGCCATCTCTCCAGCCCCTTGAACTATTTCTTACAGAAAAACAAATGTCACCTAGATATAATCCCGAGATGGCTTTAAAAAATCAATAATGTTGCCTAATTAACAAGGAAACCTTTTCTTTGTGGAGAATGAATTGCATTAGAAAATTACACATACTTAAAAGGAATAGGATTTAGGGGATTTGGGGGGCCTTTTTTCTCACTGTGGCATGATAGAAATAAGAAATCTAGGGGGTCAAAAACAAGGACTCCTAAAATCAAGTCTTACTTATTCTATTTAACTACCATGTGACTTTAGAAAAGCCACTTTGCTTCTCAGGTCCACAAGGTCCCATGTGTAAAATGAGGAAGAAGCTGTCTTCCATAACCATAAGGTATTCCAACTAACCTGCCAAGACCTCCACTAACTCCTGCCACCTGCCCAGTCTTTTCCTTCTGTGCTAATGGAAAACCTATGCTTCCCACCAATCAGTTGAAAAGCCTTGGGTTCAGCCTGGGTTGCTCTTTTTGAATGATCCACTTGCAAGGTACCCAGAAACTGACCACACCTCCCTCCCACTGCAGCTAACTTAGAGGAAGGCACGACCCTGGCTTAGATTTTTGTCAGTGATTTCCCAACTGCACTTCCAGTTTCCATCTTTCCCCTCCCTATTATACCTGCTCTTAAGTGGACACCTTTACAAACTTATCAGATTAGTTCATTCTTCTAACAAAAAAATCAACCACATATCACTTAATTCCCTCCATTTTTACAACAACCACTTGGCCCTCTGTCTCCTTGCTCCTCATCACCTACCATGCTCTCCCTGACCTACGGACCTACGCCATTTGCTGCCATCATGCTGACACCTGCAAGTACACACACACACACACACACACACACACACACACACACACACAGGCCACTGCCCTTTCCTGGGATTTCTGATGATATGCAACTTCTTGGTTTCTTGGTGAGGTTCCCCATGATGATTTCATGTAAATAACTTCCACACCACACATTCTGGCTCCTCCCAGCTGTGTTGCCTTCACTGCACATTTTTTGCTGTTTCCTGCAATGTTGTATAAGCATAGAGGACTTGGAGGATTTGGTTTAATTTTGCTCAATTTCTAGCTCCAATATTACAAGTACTCTTTAAATTTATTTTTAAAAAACCATTGGTTAATGACTGGATAAATCACAGTGATTATCTGAGATTAAATAGAAGACATTGCTGATCTTTAAAATTATTTAAAGAGGCCTTGGTAATTCTGCAGGGTCCTGCCTGCCAGGTCCAGAGATTTTTAATTTCTCAGGATTCCTCTTCTGATTTATTGCATAAGAATTGTCTATAGCTCTGGAGAATTTCATAAACTTTTGCAGATTTATGCAAACAATAGTTGTCAACATCTATTAGGTGACTTCTATTAACCTAACAAGTATCATGTTATCTCATTAAATCCTAATGTTGAACTGTACGAGTTGCAATTATCCTCATTCTACTGATGACAAAACTGATGTAACTCAGCCAAAGTCACAGTCACTAGACACAAGAGAACTAGTTTAACTCTGGCAGTTGATTGATTATAGAGCTGGCAATAGTAATCTTGTGCTAATTTTACACACACACACACACACACACACACACACACACACACACACACACCCCTCAAATATTGCTGTTGGAACCAACACAATAAAAACCTTAAAGACAAATTACAACACTTGTCATAGTCATGATACATAATGTTTTCTAACTCCAAAGTCCAATTTTTCTTCATTAACTCCATGAATACTGGTTGTTTGATATTATAACACTCTTAGGAGTTTCAATATTTAAGGGGTTAGAAAGAAAATTTAGGAAATACAAAAGTGATGTCATTAAGTACCATGCAAGCCCTACATCTTTCCAGAATCCAATTATATTTGGTGATAAGGCAGGATAGTCTATTGTCCTTAGTGCTTGGGAACATGTTCCTGGGATGTCACTTTTTAAGATAAATGGACATTCTTAGGGACAGGTAGTTGGGAATTTTTAAAAATAGATTTTCAAATTCACTCAAGTGATATATTAGACACTTTCTGATATGAGTCAATTCCTTTCTTCTCCTGGGCTTAATATTTCAGTTACATTGGCCTTTCTTTGAAGAGCAAGAAGAACACAGCTTCAACTAACAAAAAAATGGATGTGGGAAAACCTCTTTCCTTATCATTAAGCTTCTATTATATTTGCCTCAAGCAGAATTGTAAAGACAAAGCACTATTGAAGACATGTTACTCATCTCTTTTCAAGGCTCAGAGTGGTGGGAAAGTCCCCAAGGCTTTGTGCATGTACATAAGTGCAAAGCCTCATGAACAGAGTCATATTTAAAACAGCCCATGGTAAACCTTATACCATGAAAGTACTTAATCTAACATCATATTTTCAGCACATACACATATACAATTTTTTAAAATATTATGAATTCCTTATGCTTAATCAAAATTAGTCTGTGAAGTAGAAGCGTGTCTCAGCGGTGGAGTGCTTATCTAGCATGCATGAGGCCCTGGGTTCAATCATTAGCACACCAGCAGAAAAGTCAAAATTAGCCTTGCCAATAAATTTTTTTCTTCTTTCATTTATTTATTTATTATTTTTTAGAAGAAGCATTTCATTACAGCTTTAACATACTCAATAACAATTTCCAGAGAAAAGATACATCTCTTTCAAAAGTGGCTAAAAAAAGTTTAGGTTCACAGTTGAATTAATACAGTTATACAAAATTGAACTCAGTATAAACCCTGTAAGACATAAAATTGAATGAGTTTTTAACCAAAAAAGATCTCTATTTCATTTTAAAATATACTGGTTCTTATATAGTAATAATGGACTCATTTAAGGACAGCAAACAGTTTTAGAGAAAATTATTAATTTTGATGAGTGTAAAACAGATATTGAGTAACTATGTGCTAAGTGATTTCATATGTAATACTGTATTATCTTATATCATCCAGGAATTTAAGGTATAGTTCTTCATTTCAGAGGAAGAATTTACAACATTTCTATTGTCAATCAGCTAAAAGATGACCTGAGCTGAGATTCCTATGTTACCTGCTATGATTCCAGAGCTTTCCAAAGCTCTTCCCTATCTGCTCTGGTCTAGCACATTCGGATTTAGACAGAGGATGCTGGAGGATGCTAAAGCTCAGATCTAACACACAAACTGCTTCTAATAGCTCAATATAAAAGGAATGACTTTCCTTCCCCTGAATAAAATATGCATTTTTCAGGACCAGCGAGGTGGCTCACTGGATAAGGGGACTCGTTGCCAGGCTTGACAACCTGAGTTTGATCACCAGGACCCACATGGTAGAGGGAGAGAACCAGTTTCCATAGGTTGCCCTCTGACCTCCACATGTACATCTTTGTTCATGCATAAATATACACACATATGTGCACACACATGACAAGTAAAAATATAATTAAAAAATTAATACGTTATCCAATGTTTCAATGACCTCTTCAGGGTTTTGACCTCAACTGGTATTTCCAGTTCATAATCCCATACATTTAATTGGGCTTTTGTGATGGCATTTTGTGTGAATCACTGTCCTACTCACAGGTTGTCTCTTGCCCTGTAGCAGGATCGCTGGCTTCTTCTCCAAACATGGCATACACAGTGACTGTGTATTCTGTATTGGGGAACAGTCCACTCAATTCGATGTCTGTGTGGGTCTCTCCAATTTTCATCTGAGAAGAACACATGCAAGTAAATCATTTTCCAGTGTATGTTATTCCTGACGACCAGAGTGGAACTGAATAAAAGTGGCACTTCCTGGAATAAGACTGTATGTCTTATTGCAACTCCTCCATAAAACAGGCTTCAGCCAGACTTTTTAAATTATTTCACGTTGTTTTACATTAGGAACTGATAATATGGAACCACATAAAACTGAATGTCCCTGTATGCTGTGTTGGGACAAAACTTTACAGCTGGACAAATGGCAGCTGCAGCTGGAGTAGTAATGCTGCTGTCTGATTCCCAGGAGAGGGTGTGGAACTGAAGTAGAAATACTCTCTAGAGATGTGTGCCTCAGGCCATTGGGCTGGAGGCAAGACCAAGTGGGCATCAGTCACTGCTTGCTAATTCTCACCAGTCCTCTGGCTGGGTGCCCAGACTTTGCTTCAAGCTCATTGCACTGGGCCAGTTTTGTTACCCCCATTTAACAAGGGGCCCATTAAGAATGATTGCAAGTCCTTTCAGGTGTCCCTAAGAGATATGCTCACCTTGACACCCAACTTGGGAATTTGTTTCTCTGTTTTGGGATAACATTGTTTTTATTTTGGGGGTTAGTCAAACTAGTCAATAATATTGGTTATATGACAGCTGAACATCAAATATGTGCCAAGATAGTTTCATATTTTAGAAGGATGAAAAGTATCTCCATAAAAAGTTTCCGGTCACATGGTTGCAAGTTTCTAAATATTTAACTATCTCAACACATACAACAACTATACAAAAAACAACATAACACAATTCGATGCACGTCTTACTCAAACTTAATAAATATAAAATTTTGTCATATGGAGATCAGATCTTATTTTACAAAGAGCTAATATATTCAGATAAGAGAGAAGTTCTTTCTCAATCTTGTTTCTGTTCATCACATTTGCCCTAATATTGGCATACGTTTTTAACTTCTATATTTACATGCATTCATCTCCTAAAAATGTATAGTTCAATAGTGTTTAACAACAGACATAAACAAGTCCATATCAATATACTCATTTTTGTCTTCTCCTCTGTCAATATGTTTTACAATTATGGTGTATATGAGGACATAGCTATTAGAAATTATATTATATTAGAAATTCCTTTGTGTGTTTTTTTATAAATATACCACCCTCTAATGTCTGGGGGCACTGATAACACAGTGGACAGTAACAGGGATGACAGAGTATATGGGCTCCAGTAGGGGTGGAGGGAGGCTATGAGAAGGTGCCTTTTGGGATGCAGGTATAAAGATGAATAAGATTGTAAGATTGTTTGGGATGTTCTGTATGAAATACACAAAAAAAATCTTTAGATAAAAAATAATAAAAAAATACCACCCCTTCTTTCATTTCTCTGCAGATGACCATGTTTATTGTTTGCAGTATTCTTTTCCACTGAAAAACTATTTCACTGAAAATTATTGCAAGCTGGGTGTGAGGGCACACACCTATAATACTAGCACTTGGGTGGTGGTAGAGGCAAGAAGGTCAAGGTCATCCTCAGCTACATAGCCAATTGGAGGTCAGCCTGGGCATTAGATGCTACTGCCTCAATGAGAAAGAGAGAGAGAGAGAGAGAGAGAGATCCCTTTCAAGATACTTCCTTATCATACACACACACGCACATGCACACACATCTTTAAAATAGCATGCTTTCTCAGCATAATAAAACATTTCAAACATTCTCCAAAGCAGCTACACTAACGGTCATGCCTTGAGCAGCAGAGGAAAGATCATTTTCTCACACACTTCTCCTGCTTTACATTATCATACTCCCCAAAATTTGCTGATCTCTTGATTGTGACTAGTATTCGTTTATTTTTTTACTTTTTCTATTGAGGCTGAGCGTCTCTCCAACACCAATTTGAAATCTTTCTCCTGTTAAAATAACTCAGACCAACTGAAAATACAAATGGAGAAAATAATCTAAACTTTGAAAATAAGAGAACAGATGTCACCAGTGCTGTGTTCCTGATACTCAGAGTCACTGTACTTTGACACTAAGGAATTCAGTTATCGAAGGCAGGCCTTAGTGTAGAAAATCAAGCTCCAAATTGCCTCTGTGATCTACTCTAGAAGTCAAGGCACTTCTGAGTGTCAGACTCAGGACATCCCTTTTCTCTTGAATGACTGACTGCATTATATCAATCACTCCCTATAAATTAAAAATGGTTGAAATAAATCACATGAAAATCAAATATTCATAAAGTGCAATAGAGGCAATCAGAAGTCCTATTGAAGCTAGGGAGATGGCTGAGTTGGTAACGTGCTTGCCATGTAAGCATGAGGGCCTGGGTTCGATTCCCAGCACCCACATAGTGGCTAACAACGTCCATAATTCCAGTTGCATGGAATCTGACGCCCTCTTCTGACCTCTGCGGGCATTGCATGATGCTGGTGCACTTACATGCATGCAGGCAATGCACTCATACACATAAAATAAAAAAATAAGAAAAATAAGATGGAAAGTGATTGAAGAAGACCCTGAAAGTTGAACTCTGGCCTCCACGTGAATGCACACACATGTGCATGTGCATGTGTTTCCACACATGTGCATAGTTCAAACAAAAATACACCTTGAAAAGATACACTAAAGGGTTGAAAGGATGCAACTCAGTGCTAGACCATTTACCTAACATGTGAAAAGCCCTGGATTTGATTCCTAGCACCATAAGTAAATAAATAAACATAAAATGCAATGAAAAAGACTGTTAAGTAAATGTTAATAGGGCCAAGGATGTGGCTCACTGGTCACTAGCATTTGGAATGTCCTGGACGTAATTGTTAGCATTTCAAAATAGTAAACAAGTGTTCATAGTGGCTGTGTAGAGGAAGTAGGATTAGCATCTATGCTTTTATTTTTGTAAAATTCTTAAAATTTTACATTCAATTTTTACAATCAAAATTTTATCTTTAAGTAAAACAAAACAAAAACCTCAAGACTGTAGTTGGTACCAGGAAGTTACCTCTTTTTCATCTCCAGCCAGACCTTCTGTGAGAGGTGCATAGAGGATCAAATACCCTGTGGCCCCAGACACCGCATCCCACTTGACACGCATGCTATTCTCAGTCACATCATACAGTTCGAGGTCGGAAGCCATGGGTAAGGCAGCTGCAAGAGGAGATTCTTTTTAACATTCATTTACAACTGTCCTTTAGAAAAATGGGGTAATAAATAAAAAAGTCAAGCACTGTGACTACGGAACATAATCCTAGCACTCAAGCGACTGAGGCATGAGGATTGCTGCAAGTCCAAGAGCAACTGAGGCTACTGAGTGACAGCCTGTCTCAAAGAGCTGATGATGATGATAATGATGATGATGTGAGAAAAGAATTAGGATGAACTGCAAGTTCAAAGGTCAACATTTAAACGATGACACTGAAAAAAATGAAACATTGTTCTTCCTAAGCACAATTATAGAGCCTTCATTATGACCGTACTGCTTTTCTAACCACATTGTCAAGGTCAGCACTTTGTTCACACTTCTAGCTCTTTGTTCCTGTTTCTTTTGGAGCCTCTACAACTTCATGGCACTGATATATTCCAGTGTCCTGGTTTGCAGACCCAGCTCTTAGTAGACTAAAAAATCTATGAGAGGACAAATGTCATTAGAATAGTTCTGCAAAGAGAGACTATTTGAGGGACAGGGACCAGCTAGAAGTGGGGTGGGATGGAGAAGGCCAGTGGAGGAGAAGATGAATTAGAACAAAATACACACATACGTATGAAAATGCTATTATGAATTCATTGCTTTGCATGCTAAGTTAAAAATTAATTCAAGAAAAGAATAAACACGTTTCTGCAAAACAGAATTATCCACACCAGTCTTGTAGGTTGTTCCCAGCCACAAACCTGGCAGCAGACAGACTATGAACACCTCAGCCCTTGTGCTTTGTTCTTAGTGCTGCTTACATTATGAGTGTTATATAAGATACAGATATCTTAGGACAATTTTGCATAGTGCCTCACGTGCAATAGGAAGGCAGTGTTTACGACTAAAAGAATGATGGTTTTATCTCTTGCTGTGATTCTCTGAGCATGTACCTCTTTCTATGCATGTATGTGTGTGTGCATGTAGTATGTGTATGTATAAACATGGTCATGCCCAGTGGAATTCTCAGTATTCAGATGCTTGTTTTAATTACAATAAGAGGGAACTGGAGATATGGCTCAGCGGTTAAGAGCACTGGCTGCTCTTGCAGAGGACCTGGGTTCGATTCCCAGCATCCACATGGTGGCTGACAACCATCTGTAACTCCAGTTCCAGAGGATCCAGTGCCTTCTTCTGACTTCCGTAGGCATTGCACGACACAGGTGCACTTACACACATGTAGACATTACACTCATACACATAAAATAAAAATAAAAGTAATAAAGTTTTAAAAAATTATAGTGATATGAATAATGAAGGGAACTGCAATGTAATTCCCTTTACTATTCTCCTGGGCACTAAGCTTCTTCTCTATTTCTAACAAATTCTAGCACAACATCTGGTTCATAGCAAGCATCTTCCTAAAAATTGGTTTGATGAATAAATGAATGAATCTGCTTCCTTCACCACCACAGATGCTGTCTCTGGTGTAGATTTATAACTTCCATTTCAACACATACACACAACAGGATAACCACTTCCTGTGAATTTCAATCTGAGTGTCTATTTCTGAACTGCCAATTTAGGAACGGGTGCCTAAGCAATGCGGGACATGTCAGAAGTTGGATGGGGGGTTAAACACTCACACGTGGTTTCAGTTCCCCGTAGGCCTTCACTAGCCGTGTGAGCATATATGGCAAAGACTGCTATCTGGTATTCAGTTGAAGACATCAAGTTTTTCAACACCACGGAAGATACACTTCCATCTACCACCACCTGTTGAAAGGACAGTATGAGGGAGGAGAGGATGAAATATCTCACATGCAGAACTGACCCCGGAAAGCAAAAGTAGCTCAGCAAGAACATGTCATTAAATGTTTTATTATTTGTGTCAATCTTCATTTCTGTTGTAGCAATCAATTCTTGTGTTTCTGCATAAAGGCATGCACTTTTATGGAATGCATCCAAAGTCATTTCTTATTTCATATCTAATTATGGTTGTGTCATTCCTGAGCTAATAATCATCCTATTCGTGGCCACATAATAATAGTAGATGTAATTTTTTCCAAGAAACTTTGGGAAGTATTTATTAGTCATGAGAAAGATAGAGCCATTGAAAAGGCTTTGATTTATTTTTCCCATTGGCCCAGATGATTTGAAACTCCATGATCAACTTCTCTAACACTTGGAAGTCAAAAGGAACCCACAAATCCTGCGTGGTGGAGAAGAACATTGTGAAACATACGGAGGTCAATCGGAGGTTAGAACAACAAAAGGAAATGGGGATTTCATCATGTCCTAGCTTACTCCCTCCAAATCACTGAATCAAGACAGGGCCTGGGAAGGACCCAATCATCTGGCAATAGGTGTTCACGTCTGGTCACAGCTGGTCATGATGGAAGATGCTGGCCACGGCTGTTTTATGATACCTTTCCATTGCACTAATTTCTACAAATGCTGAGGAAATTCCAAAGCACAGAAGACAAGCTCACCATATCACCACAAAGTTTGGAATACACAATATTCACTAAGGCAGAAACATCTGACCACTCCCAAATAGAAAAAGATGAATGAACATCTTAGTCTTCCAATATTTCCTCTTCAGCTAATATTGGGAGCTGATTGCTGCTGGGTGAGGAAGAGCTGATTTTCCTAAAACAAGAAACTCTAGATAAGCTGACTAGACCTTGGTGGATGGATTTGCACTGGAGAACACTGACTTGACACAGTGTTCTATGTCATCTTAACATGGATGACAGAGTATATGGGTTCCAGTGGGGGCTAAAGGAGGGTGCCGGTGGGGACAGGGTATAAAGATGATTAAGATTGTTTGAGATGTTCTGTATGAAATACACAAAAATTCAATAAAAACAATTTTTTAAAAAAGAAAATCTTAGTCTGATCATTAGCTACTGACACACTCTGCTATAGAATTTTAAGAGGGGCTGGAGAGACAACTCAGCGGTTAAGAGCACTGATTGCTCTTGCAGAGGACCCAGTTTCAACTCCCAGCACCCACATGGTGGTTAACAACTGTAACTCCAGTTCCACAGGGATCTTATGCCCTCTCCTGGCCCCTGCCGGCATTGCATGACACAGGTGCTGTTACATACATGTAGGCAATGCACTCATACCCATAAAATAAAGATATTGAAGTATTTAAAAAAAAAAAAGAATGAAGAAGAAAAGTCCACTAAGGTAGAGATGCATGCTTGATGGGTTCTGAGAGTGAACAGATGATGAGATAGAGAAGGGGTAAATGCCATAACTCAGAGAGACAAAAGCAGCACAGACAACAGCTTTCAAATTATTTAAAACATTTTAAGCATAAAAATATCCTGCTCCCACATTTCTGTTTTGTTACCAATGCTATAGATGACTTCAGAGAATGAAAGTTTTAAAAAGACTCTCATTACCTCCTCTGGCTTTCCACCTCGGGTAGGATAATACACAACTCTGTATTTTTCCACTTTTCCTGGGGAATGAGTCCAGTTAACCATAAAGCTCCTGGCAGTGACTTCAGAAGTAATCAGCTCTGTAGGTGGCCCAATGGTGGCGAGGGCTGAGGCTAAATTAAAGGGATATATCAAATAAACTTGCTTTCTGAAGTTAATCATTCCTCTGATCCTAAGAAATGCCACTAGCGGCAAGAGTGACTACTGATGTTATGCCACCCATAAGGCTCTCCTCTGTAAGAAAGTCGATTCCATTATTAATTCTGGCATTTGTTCATTCAAACATTTTAGTGTCCATTAGAAACCATTCACTATGTTAGGTTCTTAGGAAATGAACTAAAATAAAACATAATTCCTAATTCTCAGAAACATCCTTACAAGCATTGTTAATAAGTAATGTAAACAAATATTAATTGACCGTTCATGTATCTGGAGATACTCTTCTGAAATTTTTAGAGGTATTAGTTAATTCTGAATAGTTATTACTGTTCATATTTTGTAAATGAAAAAATCAAGATACTGTAAAACTAATCACTAGGTAAAGGTCTTACAAGTAGTAGGTCTCAGATGTCAGAAGGTATCTGGACTTTTACAAGTATTTTCAGCATCAGAAGACATAATTACTCTTTCTTTCTTTCTTTCTTTCTTTCTTTCTTTCTTTATTTATTTATTTATTTATCTTGGACAGGATCTTCCTGTAGCCCCAGCCAGCCTGGAACTCACTATGTGAAGCAGGCTAGCCTAGATCTCACAGAAATCTACCTGCCTCTGCCTCCCGATTGCTGGAATTAAAGGCATGCACCACCACACCCAGCATCAAAGGAATAATTTCTAGGAATAATTTCTATGCTGAAGACTTCATTCAACAAATGATCAATATCTAAACACCAAAATGGAAAAGCAATTGGCATACACTGCATGCTTTCTCTACGTCAGACTATGTGAGCATTTTGTATGTGCTGTGTACATATTAAAGAAAAGATTCTATAAGATTTGGTGCATATAAAATCTCAGTGGAAAAGAAATAAAACATGAGAATGAAAATAAAGAGATTGATCTCTATGATTTCTCAAACTTTTAAGTAACCCCAAAGAACTTTAATAACCACAGTAATGGGGTAATTGCACAGTTTTGAGCATTATAACTGTGGTCAAGGGTGTATTACATGCTTTACTATCAAGCACATATGCAGGAATGTGTGTGTGTGTGTGCTTGTGTGTGTGTGTATGTGTGTGCATGTATGGTCAGGGGTAAGGTAGGAAAAGCTGAGATCTATAATAGTCTCACATTGAAGGTCAGAGAAATTTTCTCATGATTCTACCACTTGGATGCCCCAAGAGATCTGGTCCAGGGAAAGTGGAATTTTGTAAGAGAGAAAGACATGAGCCAAACAAAACCATGAAACTCCCAGATATAACAGAGGCAAGAAATAAAGCCAGACTCCTAAAATTGGACCCTGACACTACCCCTGATGCTACCCCTCTTCCCATACAGCACTCATATGAGTCAAGTGTAGCATGCAGACCAATGATACACTGAGAGGCAAGGTTGAACATCTATGATGAATTTATTTCTAGGAACACAGACTACTTGTACTTTTCTCTATTCCTTCTTCTAAGTATAACTAAAGATTCTGGAAATTACATACACAACAAGCATAAGGGGACACTGAAATCAGAGAGGAAAATGTACAGGCCTCACAGGACCCAAGTCACATCCCAGATTTTCCTTTCTCTTTGTTATTCAAGTGTCCCTAATAAGAAGCTAAACACATCAGCAAGGTGGAAACATCAACATATACAGACAAAAGCTGTTCCCACAAAGCTTGTTGTTCTCTAACGAAAGGACCAGGAAAAAGCCAGCACACCATGACTTACAATTTTCAGACAATAAATCTAGACATGCACTAAAGAGAACAACTGGGTCCACCTCTACCCATGGCAGCAAAGGCTAAACAGGGCTTCCACCCTGTCTTGGTTACAGTCATGTGTCACAATATCCACCCACATCCCTTTGCCCAGTCAGGGTGGAATAGAGAGTAAGGAATCCTTCCTACACCACCTCTTTGTATGATAGCAATGTAGATCACAGAAGGGGCCTGCTGGCAATAGGAATTCCTTCCCCTTCATTTGGGAGAGACCTAGTGGTGAGGCTGGTCTTTCACTGCTGTCCCACAGTAAGAGGACACTCCTATGGTAGCGTCCATAGAGGCCACCATGGGGACAGAAATGAGGTACTATTAATGCCAGGCTAGTAAGTAGACCTTTTCTTCTAAGATATTAAAGGCTATCAAATCAGTAACTTGGACTTATGCCCCTACTTAGCAAAAATGAGGTATGTTCTCCCTTTCTCTGCCAGGCAGTATCAGAGGAAGCATCTAAACGAAAAGGCTCAGCCATCACGAAACACTTCAATACACATGAACACTTAGAAACACAATAGAAACTAATGACAAAATTCAGCTTTTAAGGAAGAAAAAGAAAACACTTAGCAAAGAAGCAAATGATATAGAAAGGAAGCAGGGCCAGAAACAAGAGGGACCCTGCCTCAACAAGGTGGGAGGAAAGAACCAACTCCCAAGAGTCACCCTCTGACCTCTTACACAGACAATGTCACGGAATGCGCACAAGTTCATGTGCACACGCACTCACTCAGAGAAGTGCACAAACACAAATACAGTTTTAAAGAAGAACAATCAAGGGAGTGAACTCAAGTGTACACATTTAAGAATATATAGCTACAAGTTTTAAAATGTGTGTTGTTGGGAAAAAAATCAGACAAATAAATGGACCTCACAGTACAGGTCAGAGAGCCCTGAAATAAAACGACAGAATTGTACCTAACTGGTGGTTGATATGCAAAGTTCAACTAGAAGATGCACAAGGTCTTCATGATAGATATAGCTTTAGAAGTATTTTGCCAAAGAGTCCACACAGAAAGAACAAGCAAGTGTAAAGATCCTCAACTTTACTAGTCATGAGAGGAATGTGTTGTATCGCTATATATGTTTCAGAATGGCTAATTAAAACAAAAATTTTTAAAGCAATATTGATGGAAATGCATAGGAACTGGATCGCTCATACATTGCCACTGGGAATGTAAAATTCTGCACACTCTGAAAATAGTTTGGCAGTTTCTTAATGAAAGTCAAACTAAACAAAACATGCACCCAGGGTACAGTCAAGACATTGGACTCCTGGTCATTATGCCAGAGAAATGAAAATGTACATTCATGAAAGAACCAACACAAATATACACAGCAACTTTATTCATAGCAGCCCTAAACTGAAAAGAATCCAGAATGTTCGAATGCTTAGACAATGGTGCCACTGGGAAAGATGAGCCCACAATAAAGGACGAGCCTTTGGCACACCTACAGCTCAGATGAATTCCCAAGGACTTGTTCTGCATGGAAAAAGCCAATGTCCAAAGGCTGAATACTGCATAGTCCACTTGTGAAATATTTTTTAATGAAAAAAATCAATAGAAATAGAGAATAGGTTGTCAGGGTTTAGTGAGAGGGTGACAGAGGGATATAAATGAGGATGGTTATAAATGGCCAGGGAAGCCATTCTTCTGATGGAAATGTCTTCACACTGAGTCTATCAATGTTCACATTTTCCTGGTGTTATGGTGCTGTGGCTTACCCTTAGTGAATCCAGTTGAGAATACACTATCTCTCTATGTATTATTTCTTACAACATATGAAGGTGTAATTATCTCAAAATTAAACATTAAATTTTAAAACCACAATAGTCTGAATGTTAACACTTTGGAGAAAATCACCTAGTGGTCACAACAGGCATCTCTCATCCTCACAAAGCCTACCAATGTGTAGGCCTCCTTTTGACTCTGATGATTCAGGTCTCAGGAGAGACAGGAGTTCTAAGAAACCCAACATGAAAAATGGTAGGGATGTTTATAGTCTACACTAGACCTGTGCCCATGGTGATAGACCTGTGACGATGGTGATAGACCTGTGCCGATGGTGATAGACCTATATGCACAGTGATAGACTTGTGGGAACAGTGACAGGCATGTAAGAAAGACGATAAACCTGTGAGGATGTTTTCTCTCATTTCAGATCTGTGCCCATGGCAATAGACATGTGCAGATGGTGACAGACCTGTATGCACAGTGATAGGTGTGTGTGTGTGTGTGTGTGTGTGTGTGTGTCTGTGTGTGTGTCTGTGTGTCTGTGTGTCTGTGTGTGTGGTAACAGACCTGTGCACACAGTGACAGACCTGTGTCCCTGGCAATGCCTACATCCACAGGATGGTGCTGTTCTCTCTTACCTTTAATCTCCTTGTCCTGCTCTTCCACCCCAGAGCACACGGTCCTGGTCAGGCTCTCCACCACAGTGTGCATCAGGTCAAACTCCGCAACATTGTAGACATGAGTGCTGTCTGGCTCAGAGGCGATCTCTTGCAGCTCATTCACGTCAGCATTTTTCACACCTGCCATTGAAGATAACAAGAAGTATGGTGCTATGATGCCTGATTGGAAAGCAACTACACTGGGGTTGGCCTGACCCAGTCAGCCTTCACTAGTCAAAGTGTTCTCTACTTGATTGGTTGTCTTGACAGATAGTGAACTTTTTATATTACAAATACACACCTAAATGCTGGGTGTGGTGACCCATGCCTATAGTTTCAACTACATAGGAGGCTGAAGCAGGAGGATCACTTAAGCTTGAGAGTTTGGGGTCAATCTGGGAAAGATAGAAATATACTCTCATAAAAATTAATAAATGGGGATTGGAGAGATGGCTTAGCAGTCAAGAGCACCGACTGTTCTTGCAGAAGACCAAGATTTGAATCCCAGGATCTGCATGGCGGCTAACAACTGTTCGTAACTCCAGTTCCAGGAAAATCCAATGCCCTCTTCTGTCCTCCACAGGCACTGCATGACACAGGTGCACTTACACACATGCAGGCATAACACTCATACACATAAAAAGTATTAATAAATGATAGTGCTGAAGAGATGGTTCAGTGGTTAAGAGCACTGACTGCTCTTGCCAAGGACCCAAGTTTGGTTCCCAGTACCCACATGGCAGCTAACGACTGTCTATAACTACAGTTCCATGGGAATCCACCCTCTTCTGACCTTTGTAGGCATTCATTGCACAATACAGGTGCACAGAATTAATGAATTTAGCTCAAGTATACACACCGAGTAAGTGTACCATTGAGAATCTACTATATCACACTGCTTCTCAGAAGATGACTGATGATAGTAAAGGGAATTAGAGACTGAAGAGGTACTTGGTTAGATTTTATGGGTGAAGGGAGATTTGTCTTCCTCAACTTTCAGCAAACAGGGAGGATTTCTTTAAAAATCCCTGTCGTTTCAATCATCCCAGGGTATTAAAGGGAGGTCCTTCAGATTTGAATTAGAGGGAGGGCCTAGGGGAGTGTGAGTTACTTCCTAGATGCAGGGTGTGCCAATTATACCTCTTCCAATCCCAACATACCTAGTACCAAAGCATTAGTGGTTGAACTATGTGCTTCAGGAAGCTATAAGGTAAAAAGTACTGCTGATTTCCAGGTGATTTCAAAGAAGTTCAAATAATATCTGAATAATTTACTTAAGGTTTTGTTTTAAAACTCATTCGTTAATTATTAACAAAAGCAAGGAAAGAAGAGCAAACACACAAAATAATCCTCTGCTGCCTTAAGTCTTCTACAGAGATTTTCTTTACTAGATGAGTGATTAGGAAAATCTGTCTGATGTTTCCTGCCCAAAGGACTTCAAGAATGCAAATTTGAATCAATAGAGCATTGAGTGCACAGTGAAGCAACAAGCTTAGGGCAAGGACACTTTCTCATGCCATTCAGTCGAAACTGGCAAGTCTGGACTCATGACAATATTCTAGGAAATATTTTCTCTGCATGTCTTTCAGTCTCTCCTTTTGCTACCCCATCTTTGTGAATAAAATAGTTTGACTGTTGTGAGTGCATGGAACGTGGAGGAGATGGCTGTGATGGCTCAGAAGGAATTTGTTTGGTCAGGATATTTGCCTCACTCATCTTTGTGCCCCAACATCCACCACAATGCCTGGCACACAGTAAACAAGCAAACATGTCTTGAATAAAGCATTCCATAACCCACAATCCAAGCGGCAAGTCTAAGAATGGGTCAAATGAATCTTTTCCTCTCATTGGCAGCTCTGAAAGACGCACTGTTTAACTTGAGGGTGATAAACGTTAATGCCAAATGTAATTGCATCAGTTCCCAGGACCAAATTTCACATTATCTTTAGGGCCACATCTATCACATGTCTAAAGTCATTTGGTTTATTGCTTGTCTAAGTTCTAGAAGTGTGCTAGTAAATATTTAACAGTTAGCTTTTCTGCCCTGATTTGTAGTGTTTACATCTCTATAGTTTAGGTACCTAATTATGACATGTCAAACAGTCAATGTGAGGGCACAAGATACAGATGAGTGATGATCTAGCTGTGCACAGCTGGCTCCTGCAAACTGTTATGAGATGGTTCCTGCATACCACTGAGCTACAACACCCACATTCCTTTCCACAAACATATATATATATATATATATATAAACAGGGTTTTGTATAAAAACATGAAAGTGAATTTGAATACAATGTATTCTTAATGTTTTACAGGATTTATTTTGCTCTTTCTTCTGTGACTGGAAAATGTAGCAGTAACAGTTGTTAATACAAGATACTACGTTCCACTTATTTGAATACAAACAATACACTTCTCTTCCATATACCTTTCACGAGCATCTTGATTTTTAATATCAAGAGTAATATTGTTAGCTTAGTAATCTTTTAGACCACCAGATTATTGACAGAGCGCTTGTTGCGTGCCAAGTACTGGATGAGGTGGGAGGAATGGGAGATGAAGAGGGGCAATCTCACCCTCCAGTTACTCATAGGGTAGAGATGTTAGAGGAATACAGAAAGGCAAAAGGGACTAACACAGTTCCCATAGTTTTGGCAATGACTGTCAAATAGTATGTACTGGACACTAGAAAGAAATTAGTTCTAGAAAAAAAAAAAAGACTAACCAGAAACCTACTGTGATGAAACAAAGTGTATATAAACAGAGGGACTTTTAAGATCTATCTCTAAGTGGGAGAAACTTATCAACACACATAGAGGAAATATTCCAGTGGGTTTTCCAGTAGTTGTCAAGCCTGGAGAGTGTTTTCAAAGCATAGATCTGGGTAAATTTTTAATAGTATGAGTTCCCAGGTCCATTCTCCCTGGATATTTCAGTTGAATACGACCGAAATATACGCCTGGTATCTGTTTTTATAATGTGCTCAATGTATCTCTTCTAATTGGTGCGGAACCCCATGATGGAAAGTATTCTCTTCTGATAGGAGGACTGTCTTACAGAAAGTTCATAAAGAGACTGCACCATGTTCTTGATAAATGCAGAGATAAATACTTCTTAATTAGACTGAAGATTGACAGCACACAAATCAGTTAAACATGTAAAGTATAATTAAATGGGCCATTCATGACAAGAAATTTTAATGCCTTCAGAAGCCTGTTGAGGAATGTGCTGCCCCACTGTGATTAGTACTTCAGTGTTGCTTGGGAATCAGGCTGCTTTTCCTATTGAGAAATTCAATGGTCTCTAATAAATAGAAGACATTTGAATCAAGAGCAAATTTGCATCATGTAAATATTTTGTAGGTATTCTATATGTATGTTACATATGTTCTTTTGCACAAAAGTATATCTTTCACAGGGTTAGTGTCAAATCACTAATATTGCACATATTTACATAGTTGTAGGGCTCTAATTACATAGCTGTAGGACTCTAAGTGGTTTCTTCTTGTACAATTAGAAAAGAGCTATACAGTGATCCTAAAGAGGAAGTTATAAATTATTAACTGGTAATAAATGTGAACTTAATTGTGTCTTGTCACTCTGTGCTTTTCAAAATGTTTTGTGCTCCACATATGACCTAGAGATGCTGACACTGGTGCATGTGACAGTCAGCATTACTCTCGTCTTAAATGGAAGGAAACTGGTCTCAGATCCTAAGCCTGACCTAAAAAGTGTTCAGGTCCCTGGCTTTCAAAATAGTGCTGTTTGGAAGTAACCATATACCATGCCCAGCACATCTGCAATGCTTCTTGTAGGGGACCAAAGGGCCAAATTGATATTATAGGGTTCAACCCTACACGTCACTATAGGACTTGGCTCCTTGTTCTGTCTGACTGAAAAACAGACCATGGAGTCAAGTGAAGGGCACTTAGTCAAATTCAAGGATCTGCAATTCTTCCTTGTTTCTCCTTTCAAACCTTTCATTCTACTTTTTCATTCTGTTTCCTCTCAAAGGCAGAAATGTCTCTTTCCTAACTCACTGAAGTTTTGAATTCTGGCTTCTGCAGTTTATATTGTCTGTGTCAGACATACAGCCAGATATGGTTCTCTGTCAACAATGTCCTCATTCTGTTCAGCAACATTGACCGCCCCCTTTTAGACCTCTAGCTCCCATTCCTGCCTACCCTTCATGCTTGTGGAGAGAAAAAAGAGTCACCTTGTCCTTCATGGTTCATTTGTTTCAAGACAGAAGCAACAGATCATATTCACTGTCTTGAATAAATTGCTCTCTTTTGAAAAAGCACCATTTACAGTATATATTGTATTAAGAGGTGTATATCTATATCCACAATGGAAATCAGATCATTACTGATACAGACCAACACATAGCAGCTGGGTGTGCTGGCACAACCTGTGATCCCAGCACTCAAGAGGCTGAGGCACCAGGATCACAAGTTCAAAGTCAGCCTGGGTCACATCTCTAGACCCAGTCTTAAAAACAAACAAATAGGCCAACAAGATGGCTTAGAGGGTAGAGAAGTCTGACAAATTTGATCCCCAGGATCCGCAGGTGGAAGGAGAGAACTGACTCCCACAAGTTGTCCTCTGATATCCACATGAACTCAATGACACTTGCACACGCATATAAAATAAATAATAAATGTAATTCAGAAAGCAAACAAACAGGACTGGAGAGATGCCTCAGCGGTTAAGAGCACTGATTGTTCTTGCAGAAGACCTGGGTCATATTCAAATCCTAGCACCCACATGGCAGCTAACAACCACGTGTAGCTCCAGTTCCAGGGGATCCAATGCTTTCTTCTGTCCTCTGTGGGCACTGTGCAACATGGGTGCACTTACACACATACAGGCAGCACTTGTGTACACAAAATAAAAATAGATAAATCAAAGAAAGAATTTTAAAACTCAAATCAAGCAGTGAACATACCTATGGCAAACAGCTCTACACCGGACTCTCGGAGGTTTCTAGATGGTGGGATGACATCATCTTGGGATTTCCCATCTGTGATTAAAATGCCAATCTTGGAAACGCCACTCCTCGCCCCTGCTTCTGGTTTGAAGCTATTCTCAAAAATGAAGTTCAAAGCAAGACCTGGGAGAAAACGGGGAAAAATAAACACAAACCAGACATCTCTAATAAAGCTTTCTAGTTTCGAAAGCGTAACCACGTGACAGATAACTTACTGAACTGAAAGAGTTTTTATTAGGTGTTAACCTTCATTTTCAAAATGACCTGATAGGAGCTGATGAAAAATCAAAATCCACCAGAATAAAGGTAATAAAAGTAATAAGATACTGCACTGCATCATACAATAGATGATAATACGTTCTTAATTTTTCCTTGGGCCTCTTTCATTCCTTTCTTCTGAGAAGGGAAAATACAGCAGCCACAGCTGAGTTACTGCAGAATAATACTTTTCACTTATCCAAATAATAGCAACACACTTGTCTGACGTGTACCTTTCATAACATTTCTGCTTCTAGCAATATTATTTGTTTGTATGTCTTGTTTTTAATTAGCATAAAAAGTAACTCACTTCCTTATGGTAAGAAATCTTTTAGACTGCCAAATCATTGGACAACCATTTACTAGGCCCTTGTTAAATAACAAGCAGTAGGTTAGGTAATAGGAGTTTCTCTTTTCTCTTTCATTTATTTATTTATCTATTTATTTGGAGAGTAGGAACAGAGATTGAACTGAAGGCTTCACACATGCTACACTGAGCTAACCACTTAGATACATCTTAGCTGAGATCTAAAATACTACTCCTGCCTTTTAAGACAATTTCCATCTAGAAAGAAATAATAAATGATGCAATATTACTATACTGTGTTTAATAATTTTTTTTGCTATATTAATAAAAATTCCAAATGGCCATGGAGATGGGGACTTCCTGGAAGAACACAGTGATATAAAGGCGGAAAGGAAAATAGTAAAGCAGGAAGGGTTAAATGGGGTGGGAAATGGGAGGACAGGGCAGAGGAGGAATATAGGGATGGGTAAGTAACAGTAAAGCTTTTAGGAAAAGTCATATGGAAACTTACTACTGAAGAAGCTTCAAAGAATACTGGCCATTGCCCCTGCTGTTGGTTACTCACCAGAACTTAACAATAAGACCCTATTGCTGAAGACATTACATATACAAGTTTTAGAACAAACAAGGGGAAATCAAGCTGGTGTTGACTTCACATCCTTATCTCTACTGGCTAGCTTTCATAGTACTGGAAGGTGCTATGCATGCTACTGGAAGGCAAAAATAATGATTAATTTTACCCTGCTGGGAATCCTGTGAACTACAACAACTGACCTGGCAAGATATGCCTGTGAGTGCAATAGTGGCGTGAATATTATGAGAGCCAGAGGTGATGAATGACCACAAGGAAATAAAGTTTTCCAGACAGTTGGTCAGTTGCTCATATGAACTCACAGCAATGGCGGCAGCATGCACAAGTCCCACGCAACTTCAAACCCAACAAAATTCCATCATAGACATGGGGAAGTGGATAAGAAATATCAACCAACCTAAGGAACTTTTGGCAGCAATGGCTACTGGGTGGGAGAAAGACAATCTCTTTGAAGGATGGGATTCTTGGTAGGTTAACTAGGCTCCAGTGGATAGACCCACAGTGAAGGACATTTGGGGATATAAATTAGATTCTATAGGCCTTATTATATAATAATAGAGTACATTAAATTTGATGGGTGGCAGTAAGGGAGTTATGGATGGGGGATATCTAAATACCATTAACTTATATTATATGAAAATCTCAAAATTTCAATTAATTGTTTTTAATTCCATGAGAGTGTGCCTTAAAGTGGCAAGGTAATGATCAAGTTTCCAGTAGTTTACATGAAAATCTATACCAAGATTTTCACGGTTAAAGCCAAGCATCTATATCATGTGCAGTGAGAGGGAATAGCTTGTACTACAGTTAGAATCTGCTCAAACGTGCAGAGAATAATAAACACATACTGACAACACTGAGTAGATTCAGTGTTTTTGAAAAGAACACATGAAGTTGAAGGGAAGAGTGGGGGGGGGATAAGGGAGGGATTGGAGCAAAGGGAGCAGGGTAGGCTTGACCAAAACACATTGTACGCATGTACAAAATTCTCAAACAATTTAAAAAATATATGTTCAGGGGCTGGGGAGATGGCTCAGTGATTAACAGCACTGGCTGCTCTTGTGGAAGACCCATGTTCAAATCTCATCACCCACATGGCAGCTAACAACCATCTGTAACTGAAGTTCCAAGGGATCTAACACCCTCTTCTGACCTCCTCAGTCACTGCACAACACAGGTGCACTTGCATGCATGTAGGCAACACACTCAGGCCAGCTGGGGCTACAGAGAGACCCTGTCTCAAAAAGACCAAATAATAATAATAATAATAAAAAGAAAGAAAGAAAATATTTTAAAATATGTTCAAATAGGGCTAGAGATGAAGCTCAGTGGTAAAGCCTTAGCCAATAAGGACCTGGGTTCAATCCCTAGTACCTCAATAAAATTTAAAAAAGCTAGAATCTAGGATTTGGTGTCTGACATTAATTGGGGGTAAATTACCAGTCATTACTGTTTCAAATATTTGGTCTGCTTCCTTCTCCCCTATTTCTGATATCATTACAGATTCTTTTATAGTTATTTTACAGTCCTTGGATGTGTAGGGTGTTGTACTGTTTTGTTTTGTTTCTTCTTTTTTCTCTCTACCTTTCTATGGACCTCAGTGAGCTCAGAGGTTCTCCATGAGTCATGTCCAGTCTACTATGTCCACTAAATATGTTCTTCATTTGCTTTATAGTGGGCGTTTATTTGATCTTGTTTTCCCCTTACATCTAGCATGTCTCTTGGATACTTTGATTGGTTTTCCATCTTTCTGCTTGCACTGTTCCTTTGTTCTTGCATGTTGTCTAGTTTAGCCATTAAAATCTTTGATGTATTAAAAACTTAAACTTAAATAAACCCCATCTATACAAACTACTTACATTTGTGCCACAGATAATTTTGATGTAAATATTATTACATAAACTGTATATCAAAAATACCAGTGAGCCAAAGTCTTCAAATATTTTCACAATAACTGCTAACTGAAGTTTCAAATATGGATGAAAAAAAAAACTTTGTTATAAGTGAGATAGACATGAGTGTGGTGTCATCTCAGCACATGGGAGGCAGAGGCAGGGGGATCATTGGGTTCCAAGCCTGCCTAAGTTACAAAGCTAAGCCCTATCTCAAGAGAAGAGGGCTGGAGAGATGGCTCGTTTGTTAAAAGCGCTTGCTACTTTTGTAGAGGAACAGAGCTCAGTTTCCAGAACCCATATCCAGTGGCTCACAACTGCCTATAACTCCAGGTCCAGGGGATCCAATGCCTCTAGCCTCTGAGGGCACCTGTGTTCACATATACATATCCCTACATACGCCCAAAAACGCACCACACACACACACACACACACAATATAAAAATAAAATCTGAAAAAAGGACAAAAATGTGTTTCCATTTAAAGGACAAGATGACAGAATGAAAAAATGAAGAGGCAGGAAGAAGAACTGGCAAATGTCTTGCAGCTTCTGAAGGATGCTGGCTTCAGATTGCTTTAGATTCTTCTTAGAGCCAAGCTTCTGAAACTGTGAATCACCACCCCATATGGGGACACATATGAATGTGAGACTTGTGAAAAATTGGGCAACAGTTAAAGGTTTCTGAATGTGCGGTGATGAAAATAATTCAGAATCAAAAATGTAATAAATATGGGGGGTTTCTGGCCATCCTCACCAATGCTGCATCATACAGTGGTACTGCGGCCATGGTTCTGAACACGCAACACTGCAGCCATGGTTCTGAACACGCAACACTGCGGCCATGGTTCTGAACATGCAACACTGAGGCCTTGGTTCTGAACACGCAACACTGCGGCCATGGTTCTGAACATGCAACACTGAAGCCTTGGTTCTGAACATGTAACACTGCCCTCACCAATGCTGCATCATACAGTGGTACTGCGGCCATGGTTCTGAACACGCAACACTGCAGCCATGGTTCTGAACACGCAACACTGCAGCCATGGTTCTGAACACGCAACACTGCGGCCATGGTTCTGAACATGCAACACTGAGGCCTTGGTTCTGAACACGCAACACTGCGGCCATGGTTCTGAACATGCAACACTGAAGCCTTGGTTCTGAACATGTAACACTGCGGCCTTGGTTCTGAACACGTAACACAGAGGCCTTGGTTCTGAACATGTAACACAGAGGCCTTGGTTCTGAACATGTAACACAGAGGCCTTGGTTCTGAACATGTAACACAGAGGCCTTGGTTCTGAACATGTAACACAGAGGCCTTGGTTCTGAACATGTAACACAGAGGCCTTGGTTCTGAACATGTAACACAGAGGCCTTGGTTCTGAACATGTAACACAGAGGCCTTGGTTCTGAACATGTAACACAGAGGCCTTGGTTCTGAACATGTAACACAGAGGCCTTGGTTCTGAACATGTAACACAGAGGCCTTGGTTCTGAACATGTAACACAGAGGCCTTGGTTCTGAACATGTAACACAGAGGCCTTGGTTCTGAACATGTAACACAGAGGCCTTGGTTCTGAACATGTAACACAGAGGCCTTGGTTCTGAACATGTAACACAGAGGCCTTGGTTCTGAACATGTAACACAGAGGCCTTGGTTCTGAACATGTAACACAGAGGCCTTGGTTCTGAACATGTAACACAGAGGCCTTGGTTCTGAACATGTAACACAGAGGCCTTGGTTCTGAACATGTAACACAGAGGCCTTGGTTCTGAACATGTAACACAGAGGCCTTGGTTCTGAACATGTAACACAGAGGCCTTGGTTCTGAACATGTAACACAGAGGCCTTGGTTCTGAACATGTAACACAGAGGCCTTGGTTCTGAACATGTAACACAGAGGCCTTGGTTCTGAACATGTAACACAGAGGCCTTGGTTCTGAACATGTAACACAGAGGCCTTGGTTCTGAACATGTAACACAGAGGCCTTGGTTCTGAACATGTAACACAGAGGCCTTGGTTCTGAACATGTAACACAGAGGCCTTGGTTCTGAACATGTAACACAGAGGCCTTGGTTCTGAACATGTAACACAGAGGCCTTGGTTCTGAACATGTAACACAGAGGCCTTGGTTCTGAACATGTAACACAGAGGCCTTGGTTCTGAACATGTAACACAGAGGCCTTGGTTCTGAACATGTAACACAGAGGCCTTGGTTCTGAACATGTAACACAGAGGCCTTGGTTCTGAACATGTAACACAGAGGCCTTGGTTCTGAACATGTAACACAGAGGCCTTGGTTCTGAACATGTAACACAGAGGCCTTGGTTCTGAACATGTAACACAGAGGCCTTGGTTCTGAACATGTAACACAGAGGCCTTGGTTCTGAACATGTAACACAGAGGCCTTGGTTCTGAACATGTAACACAGAGGCCTTGGTTCTGAACATGTAACACAGAGGCCTTGGTTCTGAACATGTAACACAGAGGCCTTGGTTCTGAACATGTAACACAGAGGCCTTGGTTCTGAACATGTAACACAGAGGCCTTGGTTCTGAACATGTAACACAGAGGCCTTGGTTCTGAACATGTAACACAGAGGCCTTGGTTCTGAACATGTAACACAGAGGCCTTGGTTCTGAACATGTAACACAGAGGCCTTGGTTCTGAACATGTAACACAGAGGCCTTGGTTCTGAACATGTAACACAGAGGCCTTGGTTCTGAACATGTAACACAGAGGCCTTGGTTCTGAACATGTAACACAGAGGCCTTGGTTCTGAACATGTAACACAGAGGCCTTGGTTCTGAACATGTAACACAGAGGCCTTGGTTCTGAACATGTAACACAGAGGCCTTGGTTCTGAACATGTAACACAGAGGCCTTGGTTCTGAACATGTAACACAGAGGCCTTGGTTCTGAACATGTAACACAGAGGCCTTGGTTCTGAACATGTAACACAGAGGCCTTGGTTCTGAACATGTAACACAGAGGCCTTGGTTCTGAACATGTAACACAGAGGCCTTGGTTCTGAACATGTAACACAGAGGCCTTGGTTCTGAACATGTAACACAGAGGCCTTGGTTCTGAACATGTAACACAGAGGCCTTGGTTCTGAACATGTAACACAGAGGCCTTGGTTCTGAACATGTAACACAGAGGCCTTGGTTCTGAACATGTAACACAGAGGCCTTGGTTCTGAACATGTAACACAGAGGCCTTGGTTCTGAACATGTAACACAGAGGCCTTGGTTCTGAACATGTAACACAGAGGCCTTGGTTCTGAACATGTAACACAGAGGCCTTGGTTCTGAACATGTAACACAGAGGCCTTGGTTCTGAACATGTAACACAGAGGCCTTGGTTCTGAACATGTAACACAGAGGCCTTGGTTCTGAACATGTAACACAGAGGCCTTGGTTCTGAACATGTAACACAGAGGCCTTGGTTCTGAACATGTAACACAGAGGCCTTGGTTCTGAACATGTAACACAGAGGCCTTGGTTCTGAACATGTAACACAGAGGCCTTGGTTCTGAACATGTAACACAGAGGCCTTGGTTCTGAACATGTAACACAGAGGCCTTGGTTCTGAACATGTAACACAGAGGCCTTGGTTCTGAACATGTAACACAGAGGCCTTGGTTCTGAACATGTAACACAGAGGCCTTGGTTCTGAACATGTAACACAGAGGCCTTGGTTCTGAACATGTAACACAGAGGCCTTGGTTCTGAACATGTAACACAGAGGCCTTGGTTCTGAACATGTAACACAGAGGCCTTGGTTCTGAACATGTAACACAGAGGCCTTGGTTCTGAACATGTAACACAGAGGCCTTGGTTCTGAACATGTAACACAGAGGCCTTGGTTCTGAACATGTAACACAGAGGCCTTGGTTCTGAACATGTAACACAGAGGCCTTGGTTCTGAACATGTAACACAGAGGCCTTGGTTCTGAACATGTAACACAGAGGCCTTGGTTCTGAACATGTAACACAGAGGCCTTGGTTCTGAACATGTAACACAGAGGCCTTGGTTCTGAACATGTAACACAGAGGCCTTGGTTCTGAACATGTAACACAGAGGCCTTGGTTCTGAACATGTAACACAGAGGCCTTGGTTCTGAACATGTAACACAGAGGCCTTGGTTCTGAACATGTAACACAGAGGCCTTGGTTCTGAACATGTAACACAGAGGCCTTGGTTCTGAACATGTAACACAGAGGCCTTGGTTCTGAACATGTAACACAGAGGCCTTGGTTCTGAACATGTAACACAGAGGCCTTGGTTCTGAACATGTAACACAGAGGCCTTGGTTCTGAACATGTAACACAGAGGCCTTGGTTCTGAACATGTAACACAGAGGCCTTGGTTCTGAACATGTAACACAGAGGCCTTGGTTCTGAACATGTAACACAGAGGCCTTGGTTCTGAACATGTAACACAGAGGCCTTGGTTCTGAACATGTAACACAGAGGCCTTGGTTCTGAACATGTAACACAGAGGCCTTGGTTCTGAACATGTAACACAGAGGCCTTGGTTCTGAACATGTAACACAGAGGCCTTGGTTCTGAACATGTAACACAGAGGCCTTGGTTCTGAACATGTAACACAGAGGCCTTGGTTCTGAACATGTAACACAGAGGCCTTGGTTCTGAACATGTAACACAGAGGCCTTGGTTCTGAACATGTAACACAGAGGCCTTGGTTCTGAACATGTAACACAGAGGCCTTGGTTCTGAACATGTAACACAGAGGCCTTGGTTCTGAACATGTAACACAGAGGCCTTGGTTCTGAACATGTAACACAGAGGCCTTGGTTCTGAACATGTAACACAGAGGCCTTGGTTCTGAACATGTAACACAGAGGCCTTGGTTCTGAACATGTAACACAGAGGCCTTGGTTCTGAACACTGCGGCCATGGTTCTGAACATGTAACACTGCAGCCTTGGTTCTGAACATGTAACACAGAGGCCTTGGTTCTGAACATGTAACACAGAGGCCTTGGTTCTGAACATGTAACACAGAGGCCTTGGTTCTGAACATGTAACACAGAGGCCTTGGTTCTGAACATGTAACACAGAGGCCTTGGTTCTGAACATGTAACACAGAGGCCTTGGTTCTGAACATGTAACACAGAGGCCTTGGTTCTGAACATGTAACACAGAGGCCTTGGTTCTGAACATGTAACACAGAGGCCTTGGTTCTGAACATGTAACACAGAGGCCTTGGTTCTGAACATGTAACACAGAGGCCTTGGTTCTGAACATGTAACACTGCAGCCTTGGTTCTGAACACGTAACACTGAGGCCTTGGTTCTGAACATGCAACTGTTTGCACACTTTGCACTATGCAGCCATCACATAGCACAATGCCAGTGAATACTGCCTGACACACCCAGGCTCAGATGCAAGACTCCTGTGTGCTCTGAATTGCAACGTTTTTGCTGAACATACAAAGTTTTCAAATCTTACAGAAACACAATTGCTTAATTATGGAAAACAAAAGTGTTTAATATTTTCCTACCATTGTTCCTTAGACTCTGAGTACCAGATCTGTATATCTTTGGATTGTATTGTGTAGAATGTTGGATTCTAAAAGCTGCTTTTTTTGAGTTGCTGGCTTAAATTTTATAAAACAAAAAATTGTTCAATGAATTTTGGCTTGAGATTAAGATAGAACATCCAACAATTTCTGAAATAGCTCAATGCATACGTCTTCCACTTTGTGCTAAGTATTTATGCAAAGTGGCATTATCTCCACATTGACAACTATAAAGTTAAAATACTGATGAATTCTGAAAAACATTGAAAATGCTCTACTGTTATTTAACAAAGATTGAATTCTTTGTGTAAAATTAAAAGAGCATATACATTGCTTTGCCTGGCAAATTTCCCTTTGTCTTTAATAAATGGTAAAATTATATATACCAAAAGTTGTTTTAACATAAATTTCTCTATGATTTATTATCAGTAAACATGTTGCTTATATACCTGTTTCATATACCCACATATCTGGGGTCACATAAAGATTTCTTGTGTGAAAGAGTCCATAAATGGAAAATACTTAATAATCCATATTCTAAACCAACTAATCCTTCAAGGAACACAATATTTATCTAGCAAAAGAAATGAAGTGTTAGCTTTTAACTGTTAATTTTGAGTTGATAAGAGAGCTGTTCTTTTGATGCTGTACAGTTCAAAAACACTATGCCAACTCTTAAAAAGTAACAAAATAAGTAATACAACTGTATTCAGCAAGATACGTCACTTAGAATGCCCACTGAAGGAACCATACCTGTTAGAGTATTTCCTCCCTTGTACGGAAGGCTTCGGACAGCATCAATCACTTCATCTTTTGTGTTAAAGGCATCCAAGTGCCATTCTATTCTGGGGTCTCCACTGTACTGTGCCAGACCTGGAAGAGAAGGATGAGAAAGCCCACCAGCACTTAAGGTTACTCAAGATCTCAGGACTCAAAAAAGAGGATGATTAGGGGCTTATTTTCATAACATTCCTTTCTTTGCCTGGTTGGTTATGTACTTTCAGAAAGAATTCCAGACATCAGTTAAAGGAATTAAGCTGGATGTTTCTGGGAGTGGAGGAAGCTTCCATATTTTCTAGTTATTTAGAAGTTATTGAATAGCAAGGTATTTGGCATTTAAAAGCAAAAAGCTAGTCATAAGTATATATAAAGTCTAAATTTATTTGTTATTTTATTCTCAAATGAATAATTCTCCTTAATGGCTACTTAAAATTTACAACTTTTTATAGTAAAGATATAGTATTTTATTGTTTATACTATTTCCCAAAAATGTACAGCATATTTTTCATTTTATCTTGGCTAGAATTAATTTGGAAAAGATTGTGTTGCCATTAACTATTTCTAGCTTTTCATATCAACAGCTCCCCAGACTTGGCTGCTTCTTTTAAGTACAGACGATTGTGTGATAAATACTTATGTGAACTATCCACTGTAAAGCTGCATCATTATCAGCAATAAAAGGCAGATACTTATGTTTCAGAGAATGAATATATTCAATAAGCAATTGAAAAACACTGTCATCAGAAAAAAATCAGAAGGAATAATAAAAAAGTATTAAAAATGAATGTGCTTTTAAGAACATCAATAAAGCTGATCCTATAACTCTGTGGGTCATTTTGTAAATTATTTCTGAACTTTCTCAAAATTCTTCCCAAGGGCCAGAGAGATGGCTCAGTGGGTAAAGGTACTTGCTACCAAGCTTGACAGCCTGAGTTTGCTCCCTAAAACTCACATGGTAGAAGAAAAGAACTGACTCCCCAGTATGGCCTCTGACTTCCACATGCACACCATGGCATGCACATGTGCATATGTGCTAATAAATAAATAAATAAATAAATAAATAAATAAATAAGCAAGTACTTGATGTTTTTAAATCTCCCCAGCAATTTTATAATATCAACTGGCTGTTATGGCCCACAACAGAAGATGTACCAATTCGTGTCTTCTCTGAGCCCACATTGAATGCTGTGACCAGATTTTCCAAGAAATTCCGCACCAGCTTGAAGTTGAATCGCCCAATGCTCCATGAACCATCCACCAGGATTACAATGTCGGCAATGGCTGGAGTTTCACAAAAGAATTTAAGTTCTGCGAAATACAAACCAGAAACACCGTTACTGTTGGAACTGTTAAAAGTGTTGGTCAATTTCAACATGTTACTGTTGGAATGTTAAAAGTGTTGGTCAGTTTCAATGTTTCTCACATAACTTAGTGCTAAGAATACAATAAAATTCCCATTAAAGCTTCCTTCTTTTCATAACTCTTCTCTTAAATGCATTCTTACTAAAAGCTCGTGGTAATTGTTGGCAGCAGACTCAGGGTTCTGGAAACAGCAAAATATTGTCAGGTTGAGGTCAACCTGACAACTCATCAGTTTGCGTGTTTTAGCAAGTGATGTCTGTATGAAATCATGCAGCTTTGGGCTTTAGCCTGCAGAGTTGTCCCAGGAAAGATCTCAGCAGTGCCAGGGAGAGTCACTTGGCTGGAACAGGCAGATGGTCAGGAAGTGCAAAGGCAACTCTCTTGCCCTGATAAGTCTGTGCTGGAGGAAGTAACAGGAAAAGGAAAATAAGGGCTTTCCAGATTCAAGAAAAAGTTAAGGCCATGTGTTCAATCTGAAAATGATCAAAAAAGGACTCCTGTATCATGGATATGACTCCATGGCTCAGGGACCATTGCGGAAGATGGAGCAGAAAGATTGTAAGAGCCAGGGTTGGTACATGAACATAGGAAAACAGAGGCTTTCGGGCCACTGGAAGCTTGCTCATGTGAACTTGCAGCAATGGTGGCATCGTGCACAAGACCCATGCCGACTCAAGAAGACAAGATCCCATCATGGAGTGAGGGAAATGGGCAGTAGGCCAGCCCTAGCCTGGGAACTGTTGGAGACTGATTACTGCTGGGTGAGGGAGAGTAGATCTTTCTTTTTTTAGATGAAGCATTTCATTACAGCTCTAATATACTCAATAACAATTTCCAGAGCAAAGATACATCTCTCTCAGAAGTGGCTATAAATTGTTTTAGATTCACAGCTCAATTAATACAGTTATACAATATTGAACTCAATATAAACACTGTAAGACATAAAATTGAATGAATTTTTAACCAAAAAAGATCTCCATTTCCTTTTGAAATATACTGTTTCCTAGAGAAAGACTCATTTTTAATGCTACTAACAGATGTTTGGACATGTGTCTCTAATCTCTATGTGTCTGTTTGTTACTAGTCACAGTCAGTTACACTTGGATCCTTGGCACCTGTGTATGGATATAAAGTCATCAGGTAGATTTTAGTGGTAATGTTTATCACCTCTACTACTTTACATGATGTAAATTTTTATGCTCCCTTCTCAAATATAACTCATTTTTTAAATTTGTTGATTTTATTGTGTGTATATCACACAGAACATCCCAAACAATCTTATTCATCTAGATACCCACTTCCCAGATGGCAACCTCCCATAACCTCCCCTGCCACTAGAGCCTTTTTGCTCTGTCTTCCCTGCTACTGTGTGCTGTGGTGTCACCCCCCACCCCCAGCCGTTCCCCAGTACTTGTCCATCCAGTGAATCTAGTCAGTCCATCTAAAGGTCTTTGTTGTAGGAAGGTCAACTGTTCCTCATCTAGCAGCAATCTGTTGTCAATATTCCTTTAGATAAGACTGGGGTCTCCTGTTCATTTTCCAGGTTTTATGCTGGGTTACTATCTGGGAGTCTCTTGGGCCACCCTGGCCAACAACTCAAAAGAAGGTATCTCCTGTCTGGCATTGTTTCTTGTTATGTAGCCTTTAGCTAAACATATGAACTCTTAAAAAATTATATTGGCCCCATTAATCTTTGGCTATACTTTCCTTTTTGGGTGTTTAAGGCCATAGAGTTGTCCCAGATAAATCGATTTATTTTTACTCTTAAAGTCGTTTGAGGATCTGTTCCTCAGGGGTCACATGGGCTTGGGAGGAGCCCCTGGCTCCTTTCTTTTACCAGTTCCACCTATGTAAAGATAAGTCAAAGGTCCTGCTCGACCATGTTTGTCTTCGCTTGGAAGCATGGAGGAAATGTTTCCTCTGTGTTGACCCTCCTCTTTGTAGACTGGCCACTGGTTCAAGTCCATCTGGTGGGGTCTCCACAGCCTCCTTGATCAAGAGGACAGGTGACTCTTTTTAAGATTTGTCGATAGTCTGACTAAACTCCAGTGGATGAACTTTCACCAAAGGACATCTGGGTACAAATGCTTGACTGGATAGGACTTAATATATATGACAGAATGCACGAGGTTCAGTGGGAGGGAGAGGTATGGGGGGAGAATGAATGGGGGGGTCTAAATTTGATTAAGAACTATTGCATGAGATGCTCAAAAACTCAATAAGACACGCATTTGGAAAAAAAATGGGAAAAGGCCCAAGAACTTCCTCAAATCTATTCTTTTTTTTTTTCATATTGGTCATACGATACAATAAGATCTATCCCCTGATCTGAGGAGCTGGGGTGGCTCTCATTGGGTCTTCACAGTCTGTTTTGGTGTCTGCTCACCCCATCCTCAGGCATCAGTCTTCTTGCTGTCAATGCTCCATTGGGATCTGGCCATGTTTACCATGAAGAGTCTCCCTTTCTATCCTGGGGTGGGAGGGAATCAGTGATATTGAAGGTGGCCAGCTGTGTGTTATAGATTTGAGTTGCATTTGGCTCTAAAACAATCTTGTTGGTAAATGTATGGAGAGTAAGGAAATGGAAGGCTTGTCCCCAGTGGGTTGAAACATGTCCCAGGTGATCTCTGCTCTGGTTTATAGAGACTGTTGAGTACCTTGAAGGGGAATGTCTTTCAGACTGTACCAGCATACCTAGCATGGTTAACCAACTGTTGCAGGCTCTGCGAATTAAAATGATTTAACATCCAAACTCCACAAAAAGGTTATGATCCTAAATATTAACTAATTGATGATTTAAATAGCTCAATGAGGACTTCACATAATGGTCCATAAAGAACAATAAATAGTTGGACCTGACCATCAGGACTGTCCCCAACCATCTTAAGGATGTTGGGGAGAGAAGAGGAAATGGCTGCTTCCCAACAAAGATGGATGCCTGAGGTAATGTAGTCTGTGCCTGATGAGGTAAAAAAATCTCAGTTCACACACAGTCAAGACACTAGAATATTATTTTTAATTTTTTAAAAATTATTTTTATTGAATTTTTGCCCAATTCATACAATATATTTTGATCATATTTTAAACCCCCTTCATATCTGTACCCCTCTTAAAGTCCCCCTCAGGATTTCGTGTACTCTGTCATATATGTAGACGCCTATAGAGTCAAGTTCATGTCCTCACATGTCTTTTAGTGTGCATCCATCCACTGGAGCCTGGTCAGGCTATCTAGCATCATATCCTTAAAGAAAACCAACTCTCCTCTCTCAGTATTTATCGGCTGCCAATAGTTCCTCAGCTAAGGTTGGGGCTTCTTACCCTCTTCCCAACTTCTGCGCTGGCATTTTGTCTGGCTTGAACTTGCATGGGTCTTTTGCATGCTGTCACCATTGCTGAAGTTCATGAGTAACTTCCCAGCCATCTGAAAATCTTTGTTTCCTTGTGGTTATCAACCACCTAGAAACTATTTTTAACGGAGGAAATCCCTGGTCTGCCATGAAATGCAGTAACTGACATCACTAAGCTGAGACTTTTAGTACATTCCTAGCCAACTGAAATTCATGACATTGGCAAAGAATGTAAGTTTCCTAAGCTGAAGTTTGGATGTTGATTGTTCCACTTAGATTCAGTAAGAAATGCCTTTGTCCCTTGGAAACAAAGAGGTTGAAGGGCCTCTAATCATATTCCCAAAAAAAGGCAACTGCGGGGGGAGGTCAAGTTCTATGGAGAAGAGTAGCTTCAATAGAAAGGGAGAGAGTGGTGTACTTAGATGAAAAGTGGCCTCTACCACTAGGGTGATTCACAGAACCCCCCAGAACTTGGATAAGCCTCTATGACCAGGATAAGCCTGCCAGAACAGCCCCACTGTCACCCAAAGCTTCCATCTAGGGATTAAGGGAGTCAGATGAAGACAGCATTGCATCAGCCTCCCTTCTTGACACTCAGGAAGCTGGAGAGGTGCACAGCATCTGCAGCCAGGGAACCAGTGGCCACATCATGTCTGCAGGAAGCCCCTCCTCCATACTTGAACCTCCCAACCCCCCCACCAAAGCCTTGCCAGGCCTCTAACAGCAGAGCTTCTCCCACATAAACAGCCTACTGCAAGGAGTCTGCAGAATACCCTTTTAGTTTCCCAAACTTTCACACAGGAGCTAGCCACTCCAAATACCAGCCTTGATAGCTTCCTCAACTAGTGAGGATGGTAGATGTTTGACTACTGAAAGATTCATAGGAAAGGGGATGAAAGACTGACTTGAAAGAAAATAAAAAGGGAAAAAAATTCTGGTTTCATCAACTGTACTTTATTTCTTTACCTAGGGACGTTATGGATGCTGTCGCTTCCTTCGAGACGGCTATAAAACCCCAAGAGAGGTTGTATTTAAATATTGTTAATGTTCCTTGGTAGATGTTTGACTACTGAAAGATTCATAGGAAAGGGGATGAAAGACTGACTTGAAAGAAAATAAAAAGGGAAAAAAATTCTGGTTTCATCAACTGTACTTTATTTCTTTACCTAGGGACGTTATGGATGCTGTCGCTTCCTTCGAGACGGCTATAAAACCCCAAGAGAGGTTGTATTTAAATATTGTTAATGTTCCTTAACTGCTCCATATCTACTTGCTGCTGAGTCATTCTCCCTCCACTGATTATAGGTTGGAGTATTGGGAAGG